ATGCTCAACAACATAAAATCCTAAAACTAGACCGGTCCACCACATAAGCATGCAAAATCCAATTAGACTCCCCCACACTTAAAATGAGGCAATGACCTCATTGCGTCAACACAGAACCAAGAAGTCAAATAAAAGGACCTAGCAATTTCATATAATGAACCAATACCAACAACCAACACAAAATCAAGACTCAAAAGAAAGGACAGAAGGAGAAAACAAACTAAAAATAAAAAGGGAAAAAGGGTGCGCAAACCGAAATTCCTCGAGGAGGATGGGCATCCACGTGCAAGCTGCTCGCCTATGCTAAGCCCAAAATCTCGAGACTTCTCCTACTCGAGCTCGCAACTAGTGCCTGCCAAGAAAAACACAGAACTCCAAAACTCCCATTATTCAAAGAATAAAACTAAAAAGCATAAATATAAATATCTAAGAAAGCGGTAAATCACTTGGGTTGCCTCCCAAGAAGCGCTTGTTTAAAGTCATTAGCTTGACGAAACCTGTGGGGAACTCAGTCGGGGTCTAGAAAGAAGTGACGGTCGTGCCACGCCTTCGTATTTTCAAGAAATGGTAGCTCGAGCAATGTGGCAAAAAGACGGGCATAGTGGATCTGGGTGTCTGTGTTCCGAATGAAACGGGTACGGGCACGAGAAATCCCCAACTCTAGACGCAGTTCTTTTCCACGCGAGCTCTGTCGTCAACCTCCGGGAATATAAGGATATCTATGGAGCAAGTCGAACTAAATGCTCCCCACTTCGTAACACAGTGCAACGACCTCGAAGACGGATGCTCCAACTTGGAGGTGGGAGGAGAGACTTGTGAGTTGCCCTCTTCCTCTGATGTATCATTCTCGGTTCGTGAGAGCGTGTCATCTTCTTCTTCGGCCTCGCACATTTGCTTCAAGACACGGGCTTGAGTATCAAGCATGAAGTGGGGTTCGTCGACTTGTGCCTCGATAGAGTCGAGACATGCAATGAGGCTCTCTATTTGTGCGCTCAGGCGAGCACATTCGAGCTCAATCTCTCCTTCTCAGTTTGCTCGGCCCATCATCCAATCGAGGACAAGGTCAAGCTTGGCATTGTACCCCGAAGAGTCATCCCCGAGCTCATTAAAGTGCAAGGGTGCTGGATGGACGTCCACAACCTTGGGCTCATCATCCTGGGACTCAATAGAGTCGATGTGCCTTGCTAGATTCTCCACTTGCTCGCTCAAACGGGCACATCTGAGCTCAATATTCTCCTCTCGTTTTTCTTGGGCCATCAATCGATCTAGGATGAGATCAAGTTTGGCATTGTAGGCAACCTCTTCTTCTCGAGATGATTTGGACTCTACGAAATCAAGAATCTGGTCGAGCTTCTCGTTAAACTCGTGGGAATCATAAGTTTGCTCAACCGGAAAATGGTGCCAGCACTGCTCGAAAGAGTACGGATAAGATTGAGTGTGGTACCCGGCGGAATAGCTCGGCTCATTGTTCCAAGAGGGGTAGTGCAGGGAGGAGTACACGTGATTGAAGTTCATATTACCTGCACACCTTAACAGAAAAACCACACGTAGCCACGAAAAAGAGAAGAAGACAAAAACAAAATATAAAAACAAAGATGCAAAGAAAGAATAAAAACGCTAAAAATGCAAAAATAAAGAGAAACACAAAATAAGATCAACACCAAAACTAAATATCCTACTTGCCTTCCCTGGAAACGGCGCCAAATTTGTTGTAGCACAAATTTTTATTTTTACCGAGTACCGAATCGAAAGATTCGTTCCCCAGGTCGATCTCACGAGGAAGGCGGTTCGGAATTCAGTTTTGGTATAAATCACACATAAACAGAAAATAAATCCTAAATACTCTAAACAGATAAAGATTGGATGAATTATCAGCTAAGAAATAAAGAACAAAGCAAAAATATAAATCTACCTAAGAATATGAACGAAACAAAGATGAGAAGCTAGGGAATCGGGTACAATTAACTCAAGTTCTATTTGCACACCGAGACATTAATCATTCTATTCTAGATAGACGCTCTCGCTTAAACATCTAGCGGTTCGCTCCCAATAACTCTTCGTAACAAGGGATTGAACATAGACGAACAAACTCGAGCATACATCACATGTCAATTATCCCAATCCCAATAACTTTTTGTTACAAGGGACGGGTCATCGACAAGCACGTTTTTCAATCCGAAACCTATAGACTATTCAATTACGAAATCATCTACCTCATGCGAGCCTAAGTCTACGACTTCTCCCCTTTAGGTTCTAAAATTCGCTTATTAAATTAGAAGAGAATTAATCGACTAATCATATAGAATCAACAAAACCCTAACTCGACTAATCAACATTCAATTGTTTTCAATTGCAAGATCGAAGTGTCACTCTTCGATTATATCAATCAATCAAACAAGATTTCATCAATTCCGAATTTATACAACTCACATAAGCATGAACAAATCAAGCCCGACAAATATACGTTGAACAAGAATAATCATCCCCTATCCCTAGCAATCAGAATTAGCTACATAAATTGAATTCAACACAATCAAGCATCTCAACTCAAATAATTATTCACATGATTAAACAAGATGAAGAATACTAACAATCAATTCAATCCAAGAGTTGAATCCAAGTTACAAAGCTTAATCCTTGAATACTAATAAGAGAAGAAGAAAATTGGAGAAGAAAGATGAAAAGAAAGGGAAAAACGAAGAAGAAGAAAAGGGGAGGAGAGAAGAGTTTTTTATCATTTTTTCCCGACCTAGTTCTTCCCCAAGAGGGGGAGAATGAATGTCCCAATCATTTACGAAATCTACTTTTAAAAACCTATTTTTGCGACCTCCGTGGCAGCGGCGAAGAAAGCCTACGCGGCCCCGACTTGCTCCGAGGCCGCGGGATTTCTTTTGCTGAAGTTTGGGACCTGACATTTTTTGTTCGTCGCGGCCGCGGTGAACAAAAGGTCACGGCCGCACGCAACTTTACGTTTCGGCCTCGTTTGAACTCGTCCGAACTCGAAATTGAGTGGCCTTTTTTCCTACGCGTCGCCAACGAACCCTTCTAGTCAATTATGCTTTCCCATCAAATATATTCTTGAAATCCTAATCTTCAAAAGCTTATGACCTTCACACCAAAAATGTGTTTCACGCGACTTCGCGTTTTGGGCTCGTTTGAGCTCGTCCGACCTTGGAATTGAGTTCCGTTTCTTCTTATATGTCGCCAACAAACTCTTCTATTTACTTATGCTTGCCCGGCTGACTTTTGCTCAAAATTCCATCTTCCCAAGACTTCCGACCTACACACCAAAAACAAAAGAAAGCCGGAAAAATACACGAAAAATACAAGAAAAGACTAACTGAAGGAAATCACACAACAAAACACAAAACACACTAAAAGCGAAAGAAAAGACCTAAAATGGGTACAAAAGAAGGGTAAAATAAACACGAAAAACATAACAAAAATGAGACAAACAAAAGGCTCACAATACGGTCGCGTTTGGACTAAAAAAACGAACGCTTCCTCGTAGCAAACGAAAATAATAAATTTATAATAATTTAAGTAGAAATGTCCATTTACGAAAATTATTTAACTTAAAAGATTAATTATACGAGGACATATAATTACGCTCGTTGAGAATGCAAGCTTAGCTGAAATAATCGTACAAGCAAATAATGCATAGAGTAATATAAATTCACACTGGCAATCAACAGTAAACCAACTCAAATAGTCGAAAATGGCACTACATATTTACCATAACTATACACTATGTTATTTATATCGTTGTTTGAATCTGTAATATTTGTGTGTCTACACATTTGTGTGCCTAATGTATATGTTCTATATAATTATATTCTATATAAGAGTCAATTACGTCAATGTCTGAATTTACCATAACTATACACATTTACCATAACTATACACTATGTTATTTATATCGTTGTTTGAATCTGTAATATTTGTGTGCCTAATGTATATGTTCTGTATAAATATACTCTATATAAGAGTCAATTACGTCAATGTCTGAATTTGTCATATTTTTTATCTATTGTATATATACAGTATATCTAATCATGAATGTGTTATCTATTGTGTATATACAATATATTTGATCAGATAAGATTTCACAACGAACAATTTCTTGCTTTCCAATCTCAATCAGAGCGTTTTTTTCATTTAGTTGGATGGACGAATTTTTTTTTTTTTTTTTTTGTTGAATTCAAGATGTCGATTAACAGATATTACTGTTTCGATTTTTGAATTCATAAATCCTTAATTCTAGATATCAGATGTGATATTTATTTTATTATTATTATTTATTTATTTATTGAATTTCCTTTTTGCTTGCAATTCTTTCACCGTAAACGAATGCATGTTTAATGTGCAGAGAGAGCAATTGATCAGCCGGTGAGAGAAATATCTATTCATAGATATGGCAAAAAAAAATCACATACAAATTCCATATTGATGGAAGTTTATATAGAACGTAGATATGTAAATATCTCTTATAGGGAGCCCATATACGTAAACTTTCCAATTTGTACACCCCTACATTACAACATTTGCTTTCGTACATCTACTCTACCAATATGTGAACTCCAAATAAAAATGTTCCTAATTTGAATCCGAACAGATACATAAACTTATTTAATGAAGAAACATAACTTTAAAAAAATAATACAAAAGAAATATAAAAATTTTATTCTCATGTGAAAGATTCGACAAGGTCGATATGCTACCTTATGCAGCAAAAACCCACATTGCATTTGCATATTGTATAATCTGCAAAATTTCAGCTGGCCACAAACAGACCTTCAAACTAAGGCCCAAAAAAAAGAGCCAGAAAAGGCAGTAAGTCAGCATAGCACAATGTAATAAATTATGAGCTCAAGGTTTACCAGCTACTGCCTGCTGTTTGTTATGTTTTCAGGGGGCACTTAGTTTCAGGGGAAAAAGAAAAGTCTAAAGAAGTAAAATAACTTCAAAATCCAAAGACCATTACATATCCGGAGCCTCGCTCAAACGACAACATCAATACGTTCAAACTCAATCAACGATAAATTGTTACTCTCATCCACAGAGAAGCCAGCGGGCTCGCCCACTTCAACACGGCCCAAACGATCCACAGCCAGTCTCATTGATCCCTTGAACATGTCAATTTTTGCATTCGAGAGGACAAGGGTGTTACCTTCTTTAGATAGATCCACTAACACAAACCAAAATTATTAAGTGTAAGTAAAATGTACGACTTTATAGAATTATACTCTAAGCAGAAAACTAACGCCAGATGAATCCTAGGGTTTGCATCATGCAGGGGATAAAAACAGATATTTTGGGAATGACCTAATAACATGAAAAAATAAAATATTAAAACATCAAATAACAAAATGCGCCTTTGAACATATATGCAAAAACAATTCCAGTTACATGGTCCGAGAGTGTAAGTTTATGGATACAAATATCAAGAGGTATATGTAATTCTTTAATAAACCTCTAAGGTATATACTATAGAAGACCTGAGATCATGATAAAAAGCCACAATAATGATTTATTGAAATATACCAAAAAATAAAAAAATAAATAAAAAAAAATCATGCTCGACATAATGAGAAAATCTCATCTTAATTTTAATGCTCGAATCAAAGTAAGGCTAAATGGATATACCACAAATGTCAAATGACAAGTGGTACCATTTTAATGTAATTAAAAGTAAATTACAGGTTCAAAAGTGGAGAGGCACAATTATGCATCAAAACCAGGGATAAATATTTAATGCAGGAAAACTATCCTTCTTCATAATCAGAACCCATTAACTCAACCTCCTGGAATTTCCATGTTCAAATATAAATATGAGGTTTTATTACAATGATCGACTTGAAGTCGAGAATTTGAAACTGTAGCAACAGATAAACTGGGGACTTCAGTAATCACACAACAAGATTGAGTTTTTGAAATCCTTCAGACCAAATTCAAGCTCCATTTATTTATTGTGATGGAGTTCAAAATTTATCTTGTACAGATTGGATCAAAAATCTTCATCCAACCTCTCCCACACAATCGGAAACCACAAAAAGATGATTAGCTAATTTTACACTTAATTACTTAATCATGTTAGCACCAGTTTTTCAGCTTCTTAATTTAGCTTCCGTTATTCGATTCAGATAACTGCTGCACATGAGGAAAGAATATTGCCATTTCAACAACACAACACAGTTTTTCAAATCATGGGATGAGTCTAGACCACTTATGCTAAAGATGCAAAATTGAAAGAGATTATATATATATATATATAATTTTTTTACTTCAAATATTCACTAAAGCAAGAAGCTATCTTCTTTCAGTAACCTATATGGTGAAGAAACATCCCGAAATTCAGAAAGATGCAAACCTTGATCATTTTTGGCGGAAAAAATAATAATTCCCGTTTCGTCCCCAACTAAGCATTCAGAAAACCGTGCTTGGTTTCGACCTCTTTGTGCAACATTCTTTGCATTGACAACCTTGACTGTTAAATTAAGGCCACTGTCCAACGGGCGCAGTTGGTTGACCTTGGTCAATTGCTTAATCTGGTCAGCCATTTTCCTATTTGTTCGCTATTTGTCGTTTCGCAATGTGAGGTGATATTTTAAACTCTGAAATGAAAATCCACAGTAAGTTCTGGAATTCTCATAAGATGCTATCAGATAAGTCTACAACTGCTGACACAAATGTGTGGATTTCCGGTAAAATTGATTTGTAATCACATACGGAAAAGGACATCGGGGAACGCCTTCAATTAGATTGCTATAGCTATATACAACGCCTTCAATTCTAATTCAGAATGAAAAACTTAATCAAAACTAGTTTTTGTTGTGTTTGACCTAATTAACAGTAAATCCAGCTTAAATCAAGAATCTTTCCCACGAGCAAATCAGGACATGTCGAACCAGGAATCGTGCATAAAAATCAGATGTAAGACTAAAACATATGAAAATCATGAAACTCAGCCAAAAAAAAAAAGATTAATTGAGAAATTCGATGAGAAATGAGAAGATTAAGATCTAAGTAGCGAGAGGACGATGAGAACGTGCGATCGCGGTTCTTACCCGGCTGGAGTGTGACGTTGGACGGTGGCCGGCGAGAGACGGTGGGAGATGTGAATTGAGAGCTGTTGAGAAGATTTGACGGAGAAAGGAAGAAAATTGAGTGCCAGAAGGTTAGAAGAACAAGTATACGGTCTATAATACGAATAAATAAATAATTTCTATTATGTGTTTATTTTATTTGTTATTCAATTATTTATGTAGTTTGGTTTGGTTAATTTTGAAAAAGGGTTTAATGTACCAAATCCCCTGTAATATATGAAATCTGCGCGTTATCCCCTTGTATTTCAAAAATTGCGTCAAACCCCCTTGTATTTGATATATGCGTGCATACTCGCCCATTCGTGTTAACTCCGTTAGTTTCATACTGACAGTGTTAGTTTTTTCGTCGAATTTACTATTATACCCTTACTTTATCGCCATATTTACTATTATGCCATTATACCATTATTTTATTACTAAAATTATCATTACCATTACTTTATCAAACAATTTACTATTATGCCATTACTGTCAATTTACTATATATATATTATATATATCATTACTATACATATATCTCTACTATATAATTTATATATAACGTGTATATATATATATATATAGGGTTGGGTTCACATGAGAATGGTTTCCAATGAAAGAAATGAGAATAAATCGTAACCACTAGATCAGATGATCTAATGACTAAAAAAAAGTCAAAATTATATCCTCATTAAGGGTATTTTGGTCATAACAATTACACATCACCAGCACCTCACCCCACACACACCTAACACATAAAATGCACGCAACACACACATACAAACACATACAAACACACGCACACACTCACACCCACAGCCTAAAATCGCCGCTTGTCGCCGCCGACAGGGACCTCGCACCGGCGCACCGCTCCAGCGCCGCCCACAGCCACATCCGAATCCCATGGCCGCCGCCCGCCATCTCCGGTCCGATATCATTATCCGTCAAGTGCTGACGAATTTATCCCATCCGTTTCTGCCGGCGAATTGTCTCCGGCACGCTGTCCTTCACTTCGGCTTCCGACGAGCACGACGCTCTCCTTCTTTCCTTCCGACGGCTCTCCTTCACATGGCAGTTTCAAGATTTCCGACCAGATTTCAGCCAATCGGTCGAGGAGCAGACCCGATGCAGTGCAACGGCACGTCCTCTCCATCTGGGCGGTTCAGGGCGGCGAACACGACGGCTGAATCGATTGATATGGTCCGTGTAGCCTGAATGTGTTGTTGGATTGGGGGCTTATTTTTTGGAAATTTAATAATGTATAGGGCCTAATTGCAATTTCTTGAACTTCAATAAATTATAATTGAGTTATTGGGCCAAATTTACAATTTACTAAAATATAGTTGTACATAATGTTCAATTAATTGGACATTCACACTTGGGATGACATAGAATAGGATATTTTCTATACTTTATATAAAAAATATTATGTATTTTTTGGAAAAAAAAAAATTAAATACTAATATAACTAATATATTATTTAAGTTATTATTTGCTTAATTCGATTATCCAATTAATTAAACCTTGTAATTCAATTTGGTGTTAATTTATTTGGGACAAAAGTTAATCGGTTTAGACTGCACATTAGAACCGAAATCGTGCACTTTAGTGTTAGACTAGTTGCACATTAGTGTATGTCATATTGCACATTAGTGATTGATCAAACATGTTTAAATTTTTCAGATTCAAATACTATATCAAATATTATTTATATATATAATTTTATACATATGTTTATTATGCATATTCAAAAAAAAAAAATAAACCTATTAACATTATTAATATATCTTTATAATATAAATAATTATTATAATATTTTTTTCAGTATAAATAGTAAATTAGTTTGTTTATTTAGATTAATTTAATTAACCAACAAAATAACTCAATTATTTCGGTTCGATTTCATGTTGAATTTAAACAAATAATAATAATAATAATAAAAAACATACTTTTATAATAATAATTAATATTTCATTTCAATTATTTATGTTAATCATTTACAATTATATCTATTAAAATGTAGTTTTAAAAAACACATGTTCAATAT